GTCTCAGTTCAGAGTTCATGCATGCTTTTGGCAAGCAAATAGAGAAAATACAAGCAGAATATGTTTGCTTGTTGTCTTGGTGGTTCAACTCCCTAAAATGATGGGGTGCCTTTCTTCCTGGTGTTCATAGGAGACACGACAGCCTGTATACCAGCAGCCGCAGTATGGACCTTGCCACTATGAGATGAAGCAGTTCCTGGAATGTGCTACCAATCAGACTGACCTGACCCTGTGTGAGGGCTTCAATGAGGCACTTAAGCAATGCAAATATAACAGTGGTGAGTGTTATTCCAGGCTTGGCCTTGGGGTGTCAAGATGACTGGAAAGAAGTGTTTAGAGGCAGCAGGGTCCCCTGTTTAGGAGGGGCAGGGAAGCTTGGAACAGCAGCCTGCCTGTTGTTGCTCTGAAGAAAGGTGACAGTACAGATCTGGAAGAGGCTGCTGTTTCTCTCCCTTCCATAGTGCCCTAGAAGTCTAGCGCCTCTGCTGTTCCCACAGCATAATCTTCTCTTACGGGATCAGGGATTTTGGAGAGGGCAGGTGGGATGCCCCGATTCTGATCTGTGGTGAATGCAATGACTGATGTAAATGGTGCCCTTGGGGAACCTCTCCAGGGACAGGATTCCCAACTACATGGCTCCTTTGGAGAGCCTACTGCTTCGTCCAAACATGCCAGCCACTTCCTTTTGTCCCTTATTCATTTGCCAAAGGGAGATTTCCCTGTCCTGGAGCCATGTATTAAAATAAAATAATTGGTGACGCACAGTCAGAATAGTACTATGTGCTTGCATGTTTCTGCCAGCCATGAGGAACTAGTTCTGTTCTTCCTAATGCTGAACTCTGATTTTTGTCTTGTTTTAACCTTCTCCCACTTGTAGGCGTTGCTTCCCTCTTGTGAAGAAATCCAGCTCTAATGAAGGGAAAACAAGAAGCTGCAGTAGAGCCATGAACCAGAGGGGATGGAAAGAAGTGCTTGTCTGGCCTGTCAGAGGAACTCTTAGTATTAGTTTGCTTCTAGACTAGTAGAAAAGGAGAACAATGATTGGCATTCTGTGGGACTTTTGGAATGCAGATATGAAAATAAAAGGGATGCATTTATTTTAATCTGTAACTAGTTTGTATGTGTTTTTTTCTTTTTATTTCAACTTTAGCTTCACTTATGTAAGGGGAAGGGTTGCTCAATTAAGTTACCCAAGCTGCTTTTTACCCCAAGTCTCACCTCTGCTTATATGGGATAGAAATTTCCCTTGATTCTTGCACCCTTGCAACCACAGCACATGAACTGTAACTTGGAAATTAACTTTGCCTGAGTGACTCAGCAAAACCAAGCCAAGGCTAGGCCTAGGCTTCCCTGGGTGCATAGACTGTCCCTATTGTACTATTGTTGGCTTGGAAGGCTAGAGCAGAGAGAATCCTGATGATAACCTTGCCCTGCAAGTGCTCCAGCAACCTGGATTCTTGTAAATCTCTGTCCTCTCAGCACACAGACATGAAGAGGGGACACACGGTATGGAAAAGAAAATGACCTACTCGGTGCATGACTTGTAATACAGCAGTCTGTTCTTATTTTATATCTTACTGGCTTATGTAACATGCTGAAAGTCATTAGCACTGGATTAAGTTCACTGGTATCATCTGCAGCTTCATCCTTACATCAGGGATGAGAGGCCTCATTTGCAACTTAATGAAATACATTAGACAAGCTGGAAACATTGTGCAAAGCCCTGACTTTAGCAGAAGACCAACACCAATACTTTGTTGGCTTTGTAATAATTGGTTACCTTGCACAATCAAAGCTAACACGGAGGTAACAGCCAGAGGGGTCAGCTGGAGATCTCTTGCTAGCAGCACAGCAGGCAAAGAATAAAAACAAAATATTTTTTTCTTTATGGAAGCAAAAGGTCCATTTAAATTCAGGCTGTAGTTGCCACAGCTCTCAACTGCTTCTGGTCAATATTAGACAACAGTGTCTCTTCCTATTTCTTGTTTGTGTTCGTGAGGAAGGCACTGAAACTCTTCCACCTTCCCCCTCTGCCTCTCCCCTTCTAGGAAAAACATGAATTTTGCCTAGAAGGAAGTGGGTATTGTAGATCTCTTCAAATTTTCATGATGTTAATGTTTGGCAGTAGTTGGTGTCTCCTGGACTGTGTATGGGCTAGAGCATGGGGTGGGCAAAATGAGGGCTGGATGTGGCCTGCCAGGCCATTGCATCTGGCCCGCAGGGCCCCTAAAAATTTAGAAAATTAATATTTATCTGCCCCTGCCTGCCTGTCATGTGGCCCTGTGGCTTGCCAAAACTCAGTAAGTGGCCTTCCACCCAAAATAATTGCCTGCCTCTGGCTTAGAGCCAGGTTGTCTTGTGCTATGTCCAGGCAAAGACGGCTAAGGAAAAGCTAGTCGCAAAAGGCAGTGTGTACAACCAGAGAGAGATTCTGATCTTGGCTTCAGCTGTGTTAATTTCAGGTAAGTAAGTGTCAGAGCTATGCCAAATTTTTCCAGTATGAACTAGATCAAAATTGGACTAACAGTTTATATGTGGACTAGACCATCTGTGAAAGAAACTTTCCTCCTGAGTCAAATTACATATGGCAAATTCTCTTGACAAATTTTGTTGTATTGTGGATAGATGTAGGATTCTATAAAATGGGTTTTGTTTTGTTAGTCTGGAAAATATTTTTTTTAGACACTGCTGTGCTTAATCAGTTGCTGTTGGTCTGGTTTATTATAATCTTTCATAGATTTCATAGACATCAGGGCTGGAAGGGACCTCGGAAGATCATCGAGTCCAGCCCCCTGCCCAAAGGGCAGGAAGTCAGCTGGGGTCATAGGATCCCAGCAAGATAAGCATCCAGTTTGCTCTTGAAGGTGTTTAATGAAGGCGCTTGAACCACCTCCGGTGGCAGGCTGTTCCAGACCTTGGGGGCTCAGACAGTAAAGAAATTCTTCCTTATGTCCAGCCTGAAACGATCTTGAAGTAATTTGTGACCATTCGACCTCGTCATCCCTTGGGGCGCTCTGGTGAACAAACGTTCCCCCAGATGCTGGTGGTCACCCCTGTGCTGGTGGTCACCCCTGATCTTGATCACAGCTATACAATGGCAACCTGTTCCTGACTGGTGTTGGAGATGTTGAGAGCCTTTCTGCAAAGGCTGGTCATAATACTAATATGCTGTGCAAAAAAGACATTGAGTTTCCTTTTTTTGGATCCAACTTGCTCAGTTCATGGGACCTTGCAATAGAGAGAGAGAACGTGTCTTGCAGTTGAGTTCAAAAGTCAGGTGGAGTGTCTCCTATATTGTGCATCGTCAAGAAATAAGATGTGTATATATATATTTTTTACTAGAATGTAAATGATACTTTGGATTAATTGGGAGAGCCGCCCCCCCGACCCCATAATCAATTTTCATAGATTTCATAGACATTAGGGCTGGAAGGGACCTCGGAAGATCATCGAGTCCAGCCCCCTGCCCAAAGGGCAGGAAGTCAGCTGGGGTCATAGGATCCCAGCAAGATAAGCATCCAGTTTGCTCTTGAAGGTGTTCAATGAAGGCGCTTGAACCACCTCCGGTGGCAGGCTGTTCTGGACCTTTGGGGCTCGGACAGTAAAGAAATTCTTCCTTATGTCCAGCCTGAAACGGTCTTGTAGGAGTTTATGACCATTCGACCTAGTCATCATCCCTTGGGGTGCTCTGGTGAACAAACGTTCCCCCAGATACTGGTGGTCACCCCTGATAAACTTATAGGTGGCCATCAGGTCACCCCTGAGCCTGCGCTTTTCCAGGCTAAAGAGCCCCAGGGCTCTCAGCCTGTCATCGTAGGGTCTGCTTCCCTGACCTCTGATCATGCGCGTGGCTCTTCTCTGGACTCTCTCAAGCTTCTCCACATCCTTTTTGAATTGTGGAGCCCAAAACTGGAAGCAGTACTCCAGCTGTGGCCTCACTAAGGCCGAGTACAGGGGACGAACGACGTCCCGGGACTTACTTGAGAAGCATCTATGGATGCAAGCCAGCGTTTTGGTCGCTTTACTAGCCGCCGCATCGCATTGCAGGCTCATGTTCATCTTGTGGTCAATGATGACCCCCAAGTCTCTTTCTTCGTCCAGGTCAGCCTGGATCACCTGCCTGTCTTCTGGTGTGGATGCTTTGCCCCAAAGTTTGGTGTCATCGGCGAACTTGGCCAGTCCGCTTCTGACTCCAGTGTCCACATCATTAATGAAGATGTTGAACAGTATGGGTCCAAGGACAGAGCCTTGGGGGACCCCGCTGGTCACAGGACACCATGATGAGTGACTTCCATCAATTACTACCCTCTGGGTCCGACCACGGAGCCAATTTTCCAGCCAGTGGATCGTGGAGGACCCAAGGCGACAATTGGCCAGTTTCTCCAAGAGGTGATCATGGGATACCAGATCGAAGGCTTTTTTTGAGTCAAGATATATGACATCAATCTCTTCTCCCTTGTCCAGGTGATAGGTCACCTGGTCGTAGAAGGAAATGAGATTGGCCAAGCAAGAATTTTGCTCTCTCTTAGATGTTTACTTGTGACAGCAGCAAAGTAAAACAATGGAGTTGGCACCAAACATTGCATTTTAAGAGTTTGAATTGCTCTGATTTGAAAGAGAAGAGCCGGGTTTCAGATTACAAGAGAAATATGTTGGTTTAGTATACATCAGTTCTATGTACTCTCACAGATCAGAAAACCTTTATCTCTTTTTACTGGGGATAGTTAAAATATGCTACTCTTTGTAAAACATGCTTCATTTCAGATTAAATGTCTCTTGTTTCAGTGCATTCTGTAGCAAAGGCTATAGATGTGGCCCCTTCTTGCAGAAGGAACCTGCTCCATCATAATACTAAATCTTTTTTTTTTTTCTTAGTATTAGCTTCTGTTCCACTGGATGGCAGTTGAGGCTCAAAGTTCAGTGGTTCAGAGGACAGTGTGATGCTGGACACTTTAAGGAGGTTCCAAGGTGTTTCTAGCTGTGATGAGGATGTCGTGTGGGGCTGATGAGCTTTCACCTCTAACTCTGCAGGCTGACTCTGCTCACCAACAGTACTTCACTTTCTTCCTGCATAGGGTCTCTTCCAAATGCGATGAGACTGCCCCAGCCCTTGTTCCTGCAGGGAACATAGCTTATCTGTGTGTCCCTGGTACAGCAGAGCCCTTCTTACTCTGTGGGGTGCTTCTGAACCTGGCTGGGGAGGCCACAAGGGGTTCCTTGAGGGGTCGAATCTTTCTCTGTATAGAACTCTTCCTCCCGCTGTCTTTCAGCTGAGGGTTCACTGACAACTTGTGCAGTCGTTCTGTGAAGCAGACCAGGAAACACCTGCATTACTTCCTTTTCGTTCTCCTCTCCACAAACCAAGGATTCTGCCAGCTAGCCCTCACCCACTGCCTGTAGCCTAAGAGCCTAAGGGCAAGGTATGAAGGCAGAAGTTCCTGAGTTTTCTAATCTCACTTTTGACCCTTTCTCCTCCTCTATTTTGGCATAAAACATTTCCTCCTTTCTTCTCCGTTATCCCACACATGCAGTGGGCTTCATGACTTATCCACCTGCAGGTAGTACATGATTGTCTACAGTAATCAATATAGTATCATTATGGATAGGAAATACTTTCTGATTTACACTAGATGCATTTTGGCTCTTCAGTCCCTGCTCTCTCTTTCACTGGAATTCTTGTTTTATTATCCAGAATAATAGCCACTTCTACCCAGATCAGATGCTGAAAAGCTGCACTAAACAAAGTTAAGAGCAAATTTTGCAAAAGCTTTGTGAAAGGCAAAAAGTGGTATGATGGCCAAGACAGAGGGACAGCGACTTTCTTGAAAGAAGCTGATGTTCTAAGTCTCCCTCTTTGGGTCTCTAGGCTCCCATTCCTGTTATCCCAGTTCTTACCTGGTAGCTCAGGGTGGTATTTTCCCAGGTTTTCCAGCAAGGATTCATAGTAGATAGGTTCAGAATGATCTCCTCCTGCCAATAAGTTGGGATAATCAAATTAGCCTGTTTCTCATCAGAAAGACAGAGATGGGATTAAAGACTCATTAACTGAGACATGCACTAAATAACTCCAAGGAAGTGCTGTCATCTCAGTATGTAATGTTTAAACTGTGGCATCTGGTCTCCAGTTTGGTAAGTCATGAGATGTACCTGCTACATGGGACTCTTATCTCCCTGCATTAAACTTTGCTGACTGGACTCAAGATTTTTTTTCCTTGTACCTTCTGTCCCTTGGGAATTCCTTACTGGGATGATTTCTGTGGTTTAACTTCGTTCATGAACCCAAATCCCATGGAATAAAGGGATGGAGATCCCTTCTTAATAGGGGCATGTTGCCTGAATGGAGGCACAGCGGCATTGCTGCAGAGGGGCTTGGTTAGTGACTTACAGTAGGCCTGTGCAAATATGGAAGTATTTGATTCAGATTTGGATTCGGCTGACAGTGATTCGATTTGGATCACTGTCCTGAATCAATTTGGCCGAATCAGCTTCGGAAAATTCGGTGCTGATTCGGAGAGATTTGTCGATTCGGCCATAGACTATAATGGGGAACCGCTGAAATACCTATAACTTTGTCATTTCTGGCTGATTTGGATAAAAATTGCAAGGATGGTAGCCCCTTCTGAGGGCATGAGGCCTGCCAAGTTTCAAGGAGGTAGGTGCAGGGATTTAACTGTCAGAGAAAACATAGCTTTCTTTTTAGAAAGCGTGGGGAAAAAAACCAAGAACAAATATAAATTGAAAGAAATGGATTGGATAGGGATAAGTACAGGGATTCTAGTTCGTAAGCTATATCCAATCCTTTCCAAGAGCAGAAAGTAGCAGGAGACTGATTAGGTAGGAAGCCAAGCCAGCGAGGTAGGTGGGAGGAACGCAAAGCCAGCCCAGTCTTTTTTCTAGCCGCTGTTGCTCGAGCAGAAGCAGCTCACAAAAGGCACAGAAAGCCTGCAGACAGAGGCTTGTACGCTGTTTCTACGTCCCACCCCCAGAGCACTGTGATTGGATGGGGACTCAGGGAAAGACCTCTTCTCAGTTTCTTTTCGCCTCAAAACTTGCCTTCCGAAACTCTGAATCTTTTTGAATCGATTCAGAGGTTTTCTTTCTTCTTCTCCTGATTCGATGGAGATTCGGCCTTCAAATCGGGCCGAATCTTCTCCGAATCAAATTGCAGACCAAAGCTTTGCAAACCCCTAACTTACGGATTACTCTGATGAGGATATAGCACTGCCTTTCCTGGAGGTATTTACTGGCCAGTTCAGATGCAGGATTTTCCACCTCACTCAGGTTCATCAGGATCCCTGCTTCATCCAGAAGGTCAATGCAATCTGGAGAGAGAGAGACTAAATCAAGGGTGTAGCCGTGTTGGTCTTCTGGCTTCCTTGCATGCCTACCAGGCTCTGGCTTCTTTACTATTCATTCCATCCAGGAAAAGCACACACCAACTGCAGGTGCTTCCTCAGCCTGATGAAGGGTTTTTAAACTGGAAAGCTTGCTAAGAAGAAAATGTCCAACTATTTAGTTGGTCTAATAAATAATATCAGATTTACCCAGACTGAATCAAGGAACTTCCATGTACCTGCAGGTGTAAAATTTATACAGATTTAATTCAACACTTTATCTATGCAGCAAACAACCGTGGCCTGGGGCTGCTTCTGTTTCACAGAGCTGCTCAGATTGTGTCCCCTGTGAGTCACTTGCCTGAGAAAGGTGGAATTTAGTTTCTACTTCTTGCATGGGATGCTTACACCAGCACATGCCATGTCAACATTTTTATTTTAAAAGATTAAAAAGCCCAGCAAGTCATTACTGTCTAGTTTGTCTATTGGTTAGTAAAGGACTTGGGACAACACAGGGTGTTATCCTTAGAGTGGGTTCAAGATGGATGGGGCTTTGAGGGAGAGGCCTCTTCAAGTGACAGGATGGAATGACCTCAGCTGCTCCCTTTTTTGCTACTTCTTTAATCCCCTTTTGACTCATCTTTCACTCTTCTGCCTGCTCCTCTAAGAGCAGTGAAGGCTGCCCCTCAGCAGGTGCCCTCTGCTTCTGTGTTGGAGGAGGTAGGCCTGGTACCTTCTGGCCTGCACTGGCACTTCCTCTTCAGGTGCGCGGTGAGGTTCAGGATCCGGCAGTGCAAATTGAAAATTGCTTGGCAATCAGCTGTGAAGAAGGGAAAGGGAGTTGAAACAGGCAGACAGTTGCCCCAAGCCCAGGGAGCTGTTCAGCTGAGCATAGAGCAACAGCTGGTAGTTCAAGTATAAAGGAGAGAGAGACATTGTCTGCTGAATTGGGGGATTGGGCAAACACAAGGGAGGGTCATTTTACAGCACAAAGGAATGCACTAGCTGGACTGGGAGCTACAGACATGTGCTTCTCCTTCCTTTGTCCTTGGAGCTCAAAAACACTCCAAACTGGAATGCATCCAAAGTATTTTGGTGGCTTTGGCAGCAGGTTTGCTGCTTCCTAAGAGGCCTATATATTCTTTTGAAATTTATTTTAAAAAAAGGGAAAAATAAAGAAGGAAATTCAGGTCTCTGATCCTCCTTTTCTGCAAACTTATTTCAAGCACAGATGAAATGAGTTTGGGAGCCTCTGCTTAATCACCAGTGGATATATTGTCTTGTAGGCAAATATCATCTTATTTAGTGTGATGGGAAAGGCTCAGGTACATGAATTTCAGGGGCAGTAACACTAGTAGTTCTCTGAGGAGGGGGCCAAGAAATAGGAGGGCAGAAGGAGCCACAGTTTAGGACTCTTTGGCAGAGATAACTGAGGGCTTAAAGAGTTTGAATAGCAGAGCTGCAAATTAGTACATTTCCTTAATCTAGAAGATATTTGGGGGAGCCCCTACAGTGTAGCCTAGCTAGCTGGGGCAGTCTGTAGTAGCTCTCTACAGTGGAAAATTGTCTCTTACTATTACTTCCAATGAACTGTATTACAGTTTGTGGACTCTGGATCCTTGACTTGTGGGTCAAGTTACCAAAGAGTGCGGTGGCAGTGCTTGTATAATACCTGCTCAGGATATCCCAGGCGCACAGCAGAGCGTGTCAGCCCTTCATTTTAAAAGCCTTCAAAACATTACACTATCTTAACCATCATTAAATATCACTTTCTAAAGGTAGCCATTCCCACACCATGCCAGCTATTCAGGACAGACTGCACTACGGGCAGGAGGTGCAGTCACCTGGCTGCTGGAGCTCAGAGTTTTGGGTTCTGGCTCACAGAAACCTCCCTTGTCTGGAGTTTTAGAGGTATGAAGGGGGGAAAGAAGACCAAGGTGTTACTGTAGAAGTTATCAGACATGACACTCACAAAGCTATTGCAAACAGTTGCCTGTTCTACATGGCCACTTTTCTGAAGGTCCAGGCTCACACGTTCAATAGCAGAGATCCCTTCACCCTCCTCGATTGAATAGGGATAGTGAAAAGCATAAGACTGTGGTTTTCATATAGTGTTTTTGTTCAATCACTTCCAAATGCTCCACAGCCTGAAAACACAGAACAGAGTCTGCAACGAGCACTGTCTCAGAAGGATGGGAGGAAAGGTCTTTAATGAACAGGTGGGAATGATTGCAATAGACCCCAGTAACAGCCCCACCCATTGTCTTGTCTCAGGTCTAGCTCTACAAATGATATTAGCTATTAGCTAATTTTTAGATCTGATACAGTAGTTTTTGTTTCTGTTATATCTCTAGGTTTTTTACAAAGGAGGTTAAATAGCCTCTCCCTTTCACAGCTGGGGAAACTGAAATGCAGAGAGCTCACGCACATAGCCAGGGGTCTGCTGACTCCTATTCCCTGCCCAGGAGACACACTATCTTCCAAAGAGCGATCTCCCCTGCTAGGAGAAGGCCGAACAGTGGAAGTGCTGTAAGGTGGTAAGAGAACTGCACAGTACATGGCAAGAAAAGCCAGCTGAGAGACTGAGCCAGACAGACAGAGTCAGGGTCCCCCTCACTTACCTCCATATCTCACCGTGAAGAACATGGCCCAGACCTTCTTCACAGATCTCTTTGCCAGGATCTGTGCTCTTCTCCGCAGCTCAAACCCTTCACTGATTTAAGGTTGAAGTGATCTGGCTACCTACTGTTTTGGGACAGACTTGCTGGCAGTCTTGATGACAGAGAGCCTGTTGTTAAGACGGGTACAATTCAGTAAGGAGGAGGGGTGTGCAGTCCCCTGGCTGAGGCCCTCATTGGCTTCAACAACCAGATTTCCCAGCAACGGGGAAATAACTCCTGTGGCTTCCCAAGCCTCTCAAAGGAGCTGGGCAGGGGGTGGAGCAAGGTCTGTGCTGAAAGGAACAAGCCGAAGCATTTTGTTCCATCATTTTAGCATCACAGCTGGTTTCAGGGATGAGCAGCCAGGGCTATTGCCTGGGGTCAAAGGGACCCTGCTATGCTAAGTTAGTGCAAGATGTCCAATGTGATGGTAGATGAAGGAAGCAGACCACATCTTTGTGTCTGCTCTCATAAGCACGATGTTGGATCTGTCAGCACTATATATCAGTCCTAGGTCTTTGCAGACCACGGCACTGTCCTGTCTGCTCCAGCTCCTGCCTAGGTGACCTGACACTGGAAGCCAGCAGTGCCACAGACCCAGGCTGAGTGCAGAAGAAGGATGTCTGGTTTCTCAGCATATCACGAGTGCCTTCCTGACTCCACTGTCTTTGTTTACTGATGCCAGTAAAGGCCAGTGAAACAGCAATTCCTTCACCAATTAGAGAAGGGGCTGAGCAGCTGACCTGGTGCTGAGGGCAGGCTTGTTCAGTGGGGCAGGGAGGTCCAAGAGACACTGCACTGCATGAGAACTTAGTGGGGGTCTACTCTGAGCTCTGCTACTGTTATGCTGGGTAACCTTGGGCAAATCACTTGGTACCTCAGTGTCTTTATATGCCCAATGAGGATATTCATACTCACATCCGGTGTAAACTGCTTAGAGATTTGTGCATGGAGCATGCTGTATTTGAGCTAGAAACTTGTACTGTAAGCTGGGCACATTGGATATTTGAATGGCAGGGAGGGTAAATCTGGCAAAGCAAGATGACTACAGATTGGTAGTTAGTGTGTCAGGTTAATATTTCCCCCCTCCATTTAAAATGGCAATCATTGCCAAATACATAGCAGGTTGCATCTCCCAAGGAATATCCCACCATCATCAAATGCAAACTTCTTCCCAACCGCCTGTGCAGTCCATCGGCAAAGTGTCATCACTCCCATTTTGCTGAAGTGATGCTGAGGCACAGAGTTACTGGCCAGTGGCCACTTAGGGGTCCCATGGGGGAGCACAGATTAGGATGGAGGAGTTCCTGCACACAGATCTGGTTAATTAGGACTTCTTGTCAGGCTCTTTTTCATTCCATCTGTTCACTGATTTATTCCTCTTGTCGCAATTTTTTCCTACTGAAATGCTAGTGGCCCCTCACCACCCCTCCCATGGGCCTAGTCAGTGTCTTGCTGTTACTGTGGTGCTGTTGTCACGGCAACACACAATTGGAAGAGATCTGAATTGAAATATTACCCTAGATGCAACATTTTCTGCTGCAAACTGTCTCCATAGAGATGGTTGCCAGGCAAGCCGTGAGGTATTCATAGTCTGGTCCCCTGGAACCTTTTAGACAACATGTTTCTGGCGTCACCCCCTTGCAGACTCTTGGTCACTGTATATGCAGGCCGATAGGTCTCAACTTTGGGTTTGAAATGTTTTCAGGTCCGTGTGTTAGGGGCGGGTTTGGGTATGTTGAGAGTCTGGATGCAAAAACCCATGTTATGGCCAAGCCCGCTTGCTTTCAGACTGAGCATCAGCGATGGTGAAACAGGCAGAGATGATGGAGACACCGCATCTTGCCAAGCATCCTCTTAGGGGCTATTACAAGCCTCGATATGGTGGGCAGCATGCTTGTAAAACAGGAGTGTTGATTAGGGATATCATAGACCTACATAACTTATCCTAGGACCAGGAACAAAGGACAGTTAATTTAAGAGAAGAGACTATATTCATAAAATCGTCTCAACCTCCGACATTAAAATCGAAGGAAATCATGAGCTATAATCACATGTAGCGCACACTGATATCAGCGTCCTCATGAACAACTAATTCACACACACCCCATAAAAGACACACATTTTTCAGCAATTATAACCTAAAAAGCCTGAATTCTGCCTCTACGTTTGTATTAACATTTTAGTGAATGAGACAACTTCCTCTGGTCACAGTGGTTTTCTCAGATGCAGAAGCATAAATCCCCTGAGCCACCACAGGAGGGTAATATCTGTTTATGGTTAAATGAGAGCCTCACGGGCTATGTACAGACACTCAAAAAGGTCGAGGCAGAATCAATTTAAGTTATGCTATTTTCTCTAAGTGGCTTAATGTAGATTGGTAGTGAGCAGAACACACATTCGCCCTTTGCAGGGGTTGCAAATCTAAGACCAGTTTCCTCCATTTTAAACATAGTCTATGTGTGCCAGACTTCTGTTCTGTAGTGGGTGTAGACCAGTTTCTGATCACTTATTCTGGTTAAAGTGTAATGCCTGACCCTAGCAACAGACAGCTGCTTGTGGTGTGATCTGGGCAGTCATCACAGGCAAAGTAGGATTGGTTCTGCATGGTATTTTAATTTGAGGGAACTGGGAGTGCTTCAAGAAGAGGGATTTGTAACTCTGAAGGGGACATGATTTCCACAGAGTTAGCACCAAAGCCCTTGTTCCAGCATGGCACCAGCAAGCAGTGACCTGTGAGGAGTGCTGGATCTCTGATTGAGGTCTTTAGTACCTGTGCTATTAGACAATCTCCCCAATACTTTTTGTAGGAACAGGATTGCTAATGCCTGAATCAGAGTCAAATTTCAGAGGTTTGTATCCTTGCAGGTGTGCCCTCTTCCTGGCCTGTTCCCTTCTGTTCGTGTCCAGGCTCTGTTGCTCCTAGGCTCTCTTACTGGTGTCTCCCCTCTGTTGTCTGGACTGGCCTCCTGTACCTTTGTCTGCTGCCTGTTCTGACTACTTCACCCATTGCTACCCATTATTCTGCTTGTTAGGCTCTTGCATTTATCAGGCACATTTTAACTGTCCACCCAATGGTTAATATTCTGACTTATCTAACTGCTTTGATTTACTGTCTCTTTGGTGAATCTCCTATGCCAGTGTTAGGCAACCAGAATGACGCAGATCAGGTCAGAGGCGGGTAGACAGATGGGTGCTAAGACCTGGCTGCTGCTGCTACTACTTCTCCCCACCACCAAAAAACCCATATCCACAGGATGGATCCAGTTTGTGGGCCATAGATTCCCGACCTCTGCCCTGTACTGACTGCCTCATTCCTCTTTTCACCTGCTTGCCTACAGGAAGGTCTGGTCTCTACTAGGGCTGCGCGAAATTTCGCCAGCTGTTTCGTTTCGATGCTGTTTTGACTCGTTTCATGCTAGAAACAGTGAAATCGAAACGAAACGAAATGAAATGAAGGGCTTCAAGACAGCCTCAAAGTGAAATGAGGCCAGTCAAAATGTTTTGAAAGTTTTGAAGCTGAAGCTGGGCTTGCCTGCAGGGAAACAGAAAGTAAGGGGAGGGGTGGGGAAAGGGCTGCTCTCATGTTGACTGTGTAGCTGGGCAGTGACTGTCATCCTTCCCTGAGGTCCCTTCCAATCCCAGTGCTCTGGGGGAGGGATGGAAAAACTGCATAAAAGGCAGCATTGTTTGAACTGTCTTGCTTTCTGTCACCCATGTCATGAGTTTTGCTTGTTAGCAGCCTGAGGTGCAGTTTCCCAGAAACTCCTGCACCTATCTCCTTGAAACTTGGCAGGCTTCATGCCCTTGGAAGGGGCTACCATCTGTGCAAGTTTCATCTGAATCAGGCAAGAACTGACAAAGTTATAGGCAGTTTTGTGGTCCCCCATTATAGCCTATGGGCAAAACAGTGAAACAGTGTTGAAACGAAATGGAACAGTGGTTTCGAAATGAAATGAAACTCAAAACAAAACAGTGTCCCATTGAAAAGTTGAAATGGAAGTTGAAACGAAACAGTGCTGTTTTGCACAGTCCTAGTCTCTACCTTATCTCCCACCCCGCTCAACCTCGGATGCTTGTGGAGGCCTGGCTCTCACTGCTTCCACAGCTCCCCTGAGTGTAGTGACCTTAGCTACAGCATTATCCCATCATGACACTCTCGTCCACCAAGAAAAGAGGAGAGGGTTAGGTTGGGTTATCACTGTCCAGGCCTGCCAGTTCTGTCCTTCTTCTTATCCCACTTCCTTCTCGTTCATAAGAGTCTCTTCTGTGTAATTTCAGTATCTCTCTCATTTACTTGATAGTGGTAATAAGACTCTCACACTTCATATTGTAAAAGTGTTGCTTCCTAGCTAAGGTAAATGTACAAGAGGGGGCCTGGGCCTCCATCCTTAGAGCATAACCCAAACATTTCCTGTGTAGGCTGAGAAAGGCACAACGGTTTGCCATATTTGTGTGAGACAACTGGACCAACTCTTGAGGCTGGTGGGGAGGAGATGGGAGGCTGATGAGTGAGATGACCATCAGTGTGGTAGTTGAAGGCATGAACAAGTGACAAGAGACTGAAAAAGGGAGAGGAAGAGTCACGGGTCAAGCCAAGAAGAGCTGGGAAATACTTCCAGGGGAAAATGCCATTTTTAAGAGAGGCGTCCAAAATGCTTGAGGAAAAGGTGAAATCTTGTATTAGACCAACTAGATAGTTGCAAAAAATATATATTAATTTATTTATTGATTGTTAATAGAGGAATCCTATCTGGGAAACAGGTGTTCCCTTTCCGTTTGGGGGAAGCAGGAACAGGAACCTTACATTCAGGTAATTGTTGTTCTTTCTTAAAAGGTCAGGGTGCTGGGTTTGCATTGATATGGGACATGTCTCGTCTGAAGCACATGTCGTCTTCTCTCTGAGACTAGGGGGCAGAACAGGGTCCTAATTAGGTAACTTAGCACACACTTTCACACCACATCTCTGACGGAGGTGAGAGAATCAGACTCTCACATTGGCTGCATCCTCTGGTGTCAATTATTGGTATTTGCAGACTCTGCTAGCAATGTGAGGCTTTGGAGAAGGAGAACACGAGTTAAACATGGCTGCTTCCATTTTGATGATGATGATTTCCTCTTTACTGGGGGAATTCCTTTCCCTAGGTAAGCAGAGTTATACTATCCAATTATTTTTCTGCCTCAGTCTTTTGGGATGTTGCTCAGTAAAGGAGGTAGATGGGAACCTGCTGTAATGGAGATGGGGTGGCAGAGATGGGGAAACTGAGAAAGACAAAAATTGTAGATGGTTCTGCAACAAAGCCACAGAAAAAAACTTCTCTGACCTTTGGACAGGTGCAGAATTCACACAACACATCTGTACGTATCATACGAGTCAAATACTCCCAGGACTCTGAGGAGCTTAAAACTGAGTTTGAAATGACCTTTTTGGCTTGTTTTTGTCTCTGTTCATTGAGATGGTGTTTTCTTGCTATTCACACATTGTTTGTCTAAATTATTTCTGATGTGCCAATGGAGAGCTTTAAAATGTTTTCTATGCAATTCACACTATACCAAATTCAGATTAGGAATAAAATACTTGCTAAAAAAGAACCTGTGCTGAAATGCACGGCAGCAAGGATGGAAAAAAATGCCAATCTGAGGAATAGCAAACTTACTTTTATTTTGCCTTGTAGTCATAAGAACATTTTTTGTTAATGGCTATGAAAGTGTGTTTTAGTATTCAAATATAACTAATGGTTGTAGAATTAACTGCAATATTAACATGGAATATAGACCAGATCTGGTTTCTTTTAAATGTAAAAAAAAAAATCCTTTTCTTTTACCAAAAGGAAACAAATTCATTGACTTTAAATATCTTATTCAGTAACATTTTCCTTTGGGGCTCTCCAGAAAGAAGAAATTAGTTTTTGGCTTACATAATAATAGATTGAATACTACAATGGATAAGTAAATCTTATCTAAGTAGCCTTCAGCACTTGGGTAAGCTGGTTAATAGCTTGGGGGAGTATTGTATAATAAAATATATTGTATTGATCTCCAGAAATGTAGTAAAGAATGTTTCCAAGTCATTTGACAGTTCCCCTGAGATGAAATATATATTATAGTAGATATACTGTTTATTTTATTATGTCTACTGTATATATAGATATTATATAGAAAACACAGCTAGCATCAGATACAGGAGGTATTCACAATATACTTCATGATATGAGTAACTCTATGGATACAATTAAAAATCACTCTATATACTGTAATGGGATTATGTAAGAATGCTAAACTTCCAAAGAACTATTTTTGGGCTACTTGGGGATTAGGTAAAAGTCAGTTTAACTGACTTGTGTTTGTTTATGCTGTGGCTGCTCTGTCGATGAAGATACATCTGTTCTCGAAGGTGGTCAATCTTTTACTAGAGTTTAAATGAATAAACATAAAAATATTAAGAACAAATAAAATGAATGTAGAGTGAAAGAAGGCCATCCCTTTCACAGTAACAGGATTCAGAGTTGGTTCAAAGTCTGCTTTTAACTCCTCCTTTTTGTTGAAGGTGTTGGAGCTCTCAGATGCTCTGGACTTGGTCCGATAGTCTCTGTGGCTGAAGGGGAACCTGTCTCCTTTGAATGTCCATTTCCTGGACCCCCCACTCTCAACAATACTTTCCATGAGATAATCTGGCTGCATACCCTGAGCCACACAAACCTGTCCAAAAGGATCCTGAGCATAAGGATGACTCGTCCCAAGGACAGTGCCACTGTAACAGTAACTGCAGGTCATTTGAGGGGACAGCTGGATTTTGAAAAGCACATGAGCTTTCTCTCAATCCCTGAGGTACGGGTGAATGACAGCGGTCTGTATTACTGTGAAGTAACGATAGTGCCTCCTCGAATTTATTCAAAAACAAATGCAACTAATCTAATTGTCAAGAGAGGTGAGTTTCTCTTGTGGTCTTTCCAATTCCTTTTTCTCCATTGGGACTCTGCTGTGTGTCCATGAAAAAAATCTTAGCACTCTTGCTTGTTATAAAACAGACAAGCCCTAGGATGCAAGCATATTTATGACTGGGAAGTTTCTTTACCATATTATCTTGCAGTGGTTGCAGCACCGTGCCTAGACTCCTGGCAGCCCCAGGCGAGCTTTTAGTATCGGGTCACCCTTCACCAGAGATAATGATAATAATAATAAAAAAATTACCATTTTCGGGCCCCCTTTCTATCTGGGTCTCGGGCAGCTGCCCAGTTCACCCTGCCCATGTCCGGCTCTGAGTGGTTGAAATTTCATATGAAGTATTCTATTTAAATTATTTTGAGTAGCTTGTCTATCACATCCCTTCACTTGAACTTTAAACTGAGCATTACCTCAGATTTAAGGTTTTTCACTTACATTTCACTGTCTGTTCTGCTGTGAAGTTGCAAGTCACTGGAACTGACCTGATGGACAGACTGTCTGAAAGTCCTGACTATATAGATTTCATTTCACAAGTTTGTATTTCTGTGTTTATACATTCACTCTCTCTCTCTTTCTAAAGAAGGACCATACCTGTTTTACAAATTAACTATTAATTATGACCAAGTTTGGAAACTTAAAAAGATATTTCCAGCACTGATAGTTTTAATGGAAGATTGTCCTCTTCCATAGAGCAAAAATATGCTATAAATTTTAGTAATTATACTTACTGTTTTTATTTCTCTCAATTTATGAAGATTATTATAGTTTAATCTGTTCACAGTCACAGTGTTGCCTAAATTAGTATGTAGAACCATAAGCTATTCATAAAGATATCCTACTAATTTACCAGAACTATACCTGTGTGTTTTTGAAACATAAAAAAATCCTATTTAAAAAAAAAATGTCTCTGTTATTTGTTATAATACCATGGGTTATTTTAAAAGAGAGTTTTAAAATAATAATCAAATTAAAAAAATCAACATTTACTTTGCAATAATAGAATTTAAGTTATGTTTTACAAGTGAATGACCATATTAATCTAAGCATCAGTATATATTAAAAAAAATCTAAAAAAGCCTACTGATTTTTCTGCCTAATACAAGTTTTCCTCGCTTTATGCAGTACATGCGTTCCTGGAGAACTGTGCATAAATCAAATTTGCATAAAGGGAACCTAGTTTATAAAGCAATAAATAGGGAGATGTTCCCACGGCGGTGAGGGAGGGAGGGAGTGAGGCTGGAGCCAGGGAAGGAGTGAGAGGAGGGGAGGGGGGACAGCTCTTGTTGCTATGTGCACCCCGGGAAGGCTGTGGGCTGTGGGGCTGCACCAGGCTCTTCCCGGGGGGGTGCATTCCCCCGGATCTGCACACAGGGCGAGAGCGGGCTGCTGCTGCAGGCTGGGGCCGGCGGTGGCACTGGGCTCTTCCCAGTGCTCAGTGCGGGCAGCAGCCTGTTCTTGTCCCGCGTGCAGATCCAGAGGCATACCCCCCCTGGGTAGAGCCCGGTGCAGCCCCCCAGCCCGCAGCCCTCCCAGGGTGTCTGTAGCAGTAAGAGCTTCCCCCCCCACCCCCGTCCTACCCCCACTGTCAGTTCCTTCCACAGCTGGCATTGGCTGTTCCCGGGGCTGCTGCAGCAGGGGCTGGGTTGAGTGGGAACAAGCGGAGCCCCAGGGGTCAGGGGGCATGGGTGAGCACAACTTGTCCTCACTCACCCCAGCCCCTGCTGCAGTGGCCCCGGGAACAGTCGACGTCAGCTGTCTGCAGTTGCTCCACTGCGCTGTGTCCTGTACCCCCTGGGGCTCTGCTTGTCCCCACTCACCTGAGCCCCTGGTGCAGCAGCCCCGGGGCAGCCGATGCCAGCTTGCTGCACCACAGCACGGCACAGCCCAGGGGCTGGGGTGAGTGGGTACAAATGGAGCCCTGCGGGGCTCGGGGCACAGCGCTTCCACATGCTATTTACTTTAAATTTTTGTAAACAGACATTTTACTTAATGTCTTTTTTCTTTCCTCCTTGTTGTCTGTGTATACATGTACGTATGTGCACTTTGTTTTGGAAATGTCTTAAATATAGTAGAAGAGCAACTGCTCCATTTTAAAATACAGAAACATAGTTTCATGTTGTAAGGAGTGTTGACATTATTGACTTCTTGCCTCAGACAATGGCAAAAGTTGCGTGTTTTACTGAGAGTTATTGCAGAATCCCAGAGGTTGTTTCTCATTTCATCTACACCAGTGGAAATCAGGAGTAAGTCCAGTAAAAGCAATGCAAGTTATTGGCACTGATGTAGAACTGGGGAAAATGAAAGGAGAGCCCAGCCCTTTGGGGTCAGTGTCTCTCTCTTCCATAAATATATTTGCTATAGTTGCCAAAGGCCCCAGTAACTGTATTGCTCCATTTGTCTAAAGTGTCCTTAGACATTATAATTAAAAAGGCCATTCTGCTATATTTCAAGCTAAAATGATTGGTGTAATAGGAAATGGATATACGGCATGCAGAGGCAATGTACATGTCCTTTTTATGCCGAAGGGCCCAGTCCTGAGCACTTTAATTCCTACTGAAGTCACTGTGAGTTGAGGGTGCTAAGCATTTCCTAAGAGCCACTCAGCCTCTAGAGGACTAGGCCCTGTAGTTATGGATACCTTTGCTGGCACTGTTTCATGAGAGGCTGCTAGTCTCCAACATTAGTCTTCCAGCTAGCTGCTGGGTTTTCTTTGAGAATTAAATCATCTCTTATATGTCTGTTGCTTTTTTTTTTATAAATTAGAAATATAAGTGAATATAAGAAACAATGGCAAAGAAAGAAGTCAAGAGTGGGAAACAGGGGCTATCCCAGCATATCAGTCAACTGGCAGAGAGTGTATCTCAAACATGGTACCCTTGGGGATGATTCAGCCCCCCCCCCACAGGTAGTACGAAGTGTTCATTCCTGGGGACTTTGTATTTTATCTAAGAAAAGTATTTAAAGGCCCTTTGACTTCACTGGGTTTTGCATCAGGCTTTCTGTACTGCTCCTGACTCCTTTAAATTTAATGGCAAACTCCACATCTGCTTCAACTAGAGCTGGACTGGGCTCAGTGAGATGAGGGCAATCCCAGATGTTTTGGATGTTAGTGAGAGGGATTGCCTGGGCTGATGCACAGAGAATGGAGAATTTGCTGCCAGATGCCCGTGCTGCCGCACTAACTATAAAGGGTGACATAGAGTGGCTCTTTGGTTAATGAAGATGGTGGGAAATAACTTTGATTCCCTAAGGGCTGCCCCTCACTACTGCTCTCTTCTTTGTAGGCTGGCCAACCCAAATCACCTCTGAATCTTCCTCAAGTCATTCTGCACCCGAAGGCAGCACTGTTACACTGAAGTGTGATTTCACTGCAAACATGACTGGCAATTTCACACAGCTTTTTTGGATTCATGAATTATCAGGCCAGGCCCAGTTCAGACTAATAGCTTGGCACGGACTACCTCAGAGGGATGGCACTTACTGTGGGACTGGCAGTCGCTTCCACAGCCAGTTAGATCTAGACAAACACCGGAGTTATCTCACTATAACTGACCTGGAGGTGAACGATAGTGGAAGGTATCACTGTGAGGGACTGGGACACCCTGGAAGAGGGAGTAGTACCAGCCTCATTGTCAAAGGTGAGAGCATCTTGCAGATCTCAAGATATCTCACATGTGCCCCTGAAGCCTCTCTTTCTTACTTTGTCATATTATCTGTGTAACTCTATTTTAATCTTCATACTGGGCTAGGGACCGACAGCCTGAAGATTTCATACGATAGATGTTAAAACACGCTCCTGCCACTAGCTCGAGCAGTTTCACACTCTTTACAATTCACCGAGCCCAGGAGCTGCACTTGCTTTACACCTCCCTGGAGCATGAGAGGTGCATCCTTTGCAGCATGCTTGCACATTAGCTTTGTTGATGGCTTTTTGGCTGCACAGAGAAACCCTTTGAAGTGCAGTGATGTTTGGGTTTGCAACCCAGCAATCATTATCAAGAAAAGACTTTGTGGATAAATCAACAGAAAAAAGTAACACATCTACAAAACCACAGCACACCACCTGTCAATAAGACACGCAGCCTTACATACTGCTTGTTATTAATGAAGTTTATATGAAGCTGCTTAAGGCTCTGACATGACTTTTCAGTGTATTTACATGGTTGCATAGTGGTGATGTAGATCTGTCTTATATTTAGCAATTAGGATAAAAAAAAATCTTTTAGGTAGCAAAAAAGCAGCATGTGACTAACCAAAAATGGCCAGGAAGACTGAGCTATGGAAAGTGCGATGGCAATGCAAAAGATGCTGGGTTTACTTAGGGCAGTAGTTGGGTGAATGATGAGGCAGTTCTGATTCAAAGCTGATTGTACTGGTAAATATATAACCAGAGAATGAATGTTATTTTTTTTTAAGTTGAGGACTTGCTGGATTTGGTCTTGGTGTAATGCAAAAAAAACCCAACAAAAAACAAAACAAACAAACAAAAAAGATGGCACTTTCACCTTAAATGAATTTTCTTAAATTGGGTTTGTGCATATTGTTTTTAGCTCCTTTGGGCATGTCTACATGCAATGCTATGCCACTGCTATGTCTCCATAGCGGTGCACTCCCCCGTTTTAGCGTGCCACTATGGGGAAGTAGTGGCTAAAAATAACCACGTGCCACGTGTACTGTGCAGTACAGGTGGTTATTGTGCCATGCTTTAGTACTTCCAAAAGGCTGCAGGGTGACATGTAGATGTGCCCTTCATCCTGTATAAAGAAAGACTCTTGGAAGTCTGCTTATATTTTACTTTAATGCTATTCAGGGTGTTAACTGCACTATTTCCCAGTTTTTCTGGGAGTCCTGCACATCTCATCAGTATCCTGGAGTTTTCTATTCCGTTCATCACCTTAATAAATATTTGAGCATGTTTCTCATGCCTTAATGAAAGAGGAAATAGCACCCACTATTTTGAAAAAGCAAATGGAAGAAATTCTAGGGTTTTGTTTTTCACATAAGAAACAAGATCTGCCATTTACTGAGTCAGACCATAGACCCACTATCCTGTTTCCCGCAGTGGCAGAGAGTGGATGCTGAGGGGGAGGGCGAACAGGGCATGTTCAGAATTTTCTGCCCTGCCCCTCACCTTTTGCAGCTTTCAGAGGTTTAGCAAGTTCTGATTCAGAGGCTGCACGTGGACATTTCCTTCAAGAATTGGTCCAGTCCCTTTCTGAACTGGATTAAGCTACCAGCCTGCACAATATCTTGTAGCAATGACTCCCACAAGTTAATTACACACTGCGTGAAATAGAACTTTTTTTTGTTAATTTTAAACCTGCGACTTTACAGTTTCATGTTATATGCCGTAGTTCTAGTGTGAGAGATTGTAATAATAAATCCCTCTTTACTTTCTCTGCACTGTTTGATATTTCGAAACCTCTTTCATGTTCCTCTTCACACATGTCTTTTCCAAGCTGAAAAGTCCTAGCCTATTTAGTCTTCCTTCACACGGAAGCCCCTTCAAACCCAAGATCATCCTTGTTGCCCTTCTTTGTACCATTTTTAGTTCTTCTATATCCTTTTTGAGGTGTGGAGATCAAAAGTACACATGGTATTCAAAGTATTTTTCTTTTTAGCTGTTTACCAATAGCATTTATTTTCTTTTATAGTCCCTACAAATATTGTGCTGATCTCCTGTACAGTTGCTGGGCTTCTCCTGTTCCTCCTGGCTTTGTGTCTGTGTTTTATATGTAAGTAATTGCAGGTAAAGTACAGCAGAGTCCTGCTTCCCTTGTTAAGTATCATCTTACACCTTACAACCGTGATTTAAATGTTCTTTGTCTCAGGGAGGTACACAGAGAAGTGACTGGTTCAGGGCATCTTTCCTAGATTCAGACAGTGCTTAGTGCTTGTTCTGTCCCTTAAAACCTGTCTGTAACAAATGATAAGGGCTCAAAGCCAAGAACAGGAATGCAAGAAATGTCTTAATGATGAACATATGAACATGGTAATTGAATATAGTTCCCCAGTGTTGTAGGTGATCACAGCATCCTTTCATAGGATGAGGACTGCCAGTGTATGAATAAAGTGGCCATCTTTGATACTTAGCACTGTAGGTCAACAAATCACTGCATTTTATGTCAACAGTACAAGGTCTCACCCAGTGGTTCTTAACTTTTTTAGGCTTGAATCACCATTTGGAAAATGCCAGCTCTTAGTTCTCACTTATTCTTTCACTACAGAAAAATACTAGAATAATTCTTCTGTTGCAAAGATCTCAGAAAGACCATAACATGTCAGAATATTCTTATTACTAAGGATTCTATTTGAAGTCTCTAGTTTTATCTTGGGAATCATGTTTGCACACCTCATGGTGCTAATGCTGCGTGGCATCCTTGAAACGGTTTCAAAGCATCCCAAGGTGCCCCATCATTCTGGCTGAGAATCACTGGTGTAATGTCTTGACTTCCAGAAGTAAAACCAGACACTTCTTTTGAAGCATGGCAGAATTTCCAAAGATACTCAGGCACATGACATGCCTGGATCAAGTGCAGTGACATTGCCATTTAGCTGTCAACTAAGTCAGTGGAAGATTCCGTTTGATTGCAAAGGGTTTTAGACCAGACCCTTATGATGCATGATATATTCCTTGGGGGTAGGGGGAAAGAAAGAAAAAACGATAAGCAATCACTCTATGAGCAGAGACATTAAATGGGAATTAATCTTTCCCTGCACATCTGCATTAGAAGTTTGTCTATTATTAGTGTTTCCAAGTTGTTCCATAATAAATGTATGTCCTTTTGTATTGCATGTTAGTTAGGAACCGAATCCATGCCAAAAATCAAGACGTTTCCCTGGAAATATCACAGCTGAATTCTAACACCCCTGCACCTGCTGAGAGAGAACCCCTCACACAGCCTGTCAGCAGTGAAATAATCTATTCACATCTGTGGTGGAGCGAGAATGATGTAAGTTCTGATTCTGTGTTGGAAGGAGAAATGGGCAAATAATGCATTTTTTTTTCTGCTTGGGGGCTAAACGAAAAAATTGGTTAGTAAGAAAAATGGCTCAGGTCAAACCAAAACACATTTTTTTTCAGGGTTTTTGGCACAATAGTGACTGCAAATTTTTCATTTAACGCAAAATTACACATTTCTGTTTCATTTTTTTTTCTCTTCAGGTCATTGTTTAATGAAAAGTACTGTTTTGAAATGAAAAAAACCCAAACAGGTCATTTAGAACATGTCACAGTAAAATGTTTTGACATTTTCAAAAGGAAACGTTTCTGACTGATTTTCCCTGAGTCTTAGCTTGGCATTTGCCCCTGTGTGGATGCCTTGTGTACCAGTCCTGTGGAGAAATTAAGTACGTGGGTCCACTGACTGAGTGGTCATGCCCAGCCCTATATACATGAGAAAATCTCTTAAGTGACTCTGCATAAGCTAATGTAGAAGGTAGGGTTTGTGGTAGGTCAGAGAGAGGCTTCAGATGAATCTAGGATATTTCGTGTCTCTAGGCTGTATCTTCTCTTTCTGCTCATTAACTGAAAGAACAGCTATTGCGGAGAGGCTGCACAGCAGCCCTATACTCTGGCCGTGTTGTTACTGAATCTCTTGAAGGCTGCTCCTTCTCTGCCCATCTTGGCCTCTTCTTCCCTAATGCTGAGGTTCATTGCTAAGTGAATGACAAAATCACTGGTGCTGCTCTGGTCTAACCATACATTCTGCTTGTCCTCAGGCGGTGTCCTCTCTGGGACGGAGTCCCCACTCTGAGGATCCAGGGGCCAAGAAGAAGTCCAGAAAAGGGACTGATGGTAGCTCAGGAACAGATGTTCAGTATGCTGTAGTTGGGTGCCGCAAACAAATTCCCCTTAATCATGTGTAATACAAATGGTTTTGGTATTTAATAAAACTATGGTTAAAAGTTGTCTGAGCAGCAGTTGTTTGAGTGGGCATAAGTGAGATGTGATTATAGCATTCGCACACTTCCAATATTGCTGTGCAAGGTGGAGTTGACCGTCTATTGTTATGAGGAATACAGGTTTCCCTCGATTTATGTGGTACATGTGTTCCTGGAGAATGGCACATAAATCAAATTCGCATAAAGCGAACCCACTTTACAATGTAACAAATAAGGATAGACTCACATGGTGAGGAGGGAGGCTGGGACTAGGGAAGGGGCGGGAGGAGGGGTGCCGCTCCCAGGGCTGCACAAGATGGCAAAGCAGAGGGAACAGAGTGGCATTTACCCCAGCCCCGGCTGCAGTGGCCCTGGGAGTGGCTGGTGCGAGCTGCCTGCAGCCGTTGGGCTGCACCGTGCTCCGCCTGTACCCCCGCGCCTGGGCTCCACTTGTCTGCACTCTCCTGTGCTCCAGCACGGGCTGGGGTCAGTGTGGACAAACGGAGCCCCGGGCAGCATGGGGTGCAGCACTCACCCCAGCCCTGGCTGCACTGGCCCTAGGAGCAGCTGACGCAAGCTGCCTGCACAAGGGCACAGTGCAGCCCAGCGGCTACAGACAGCTGGCATTGGCCGCTCCCGGGGCTCCTGCAGCAAGAGCTGGGGCGAGTGGGGACAGGCAGAGCCCCAGGGAGTTCAGGGCAGAGTGCCGCCCAGTGGCTACAGGCAGCTGGTGTCGGCCTCTCCCAGGGCCACTGCAGCAGGGGCTGGGGTGAGTGCTGTGCCCCACGTCGCCTAGGGCTCCACTTGTCTGTACTCACCCCAGTCTGTGCTGGAGTGGCCCCGGGAGCAGCCAGCACCAGATCCCTGCACCAGGGCACGGCACAGCCCAGGAGCAGAGGTGAGTGTGGACAAGCGGAGCCCAGGCTCAGGGGGACAGGTGAAGCATGGTGCAGCACATCAGCTGCAGGCAGCTGGCACCGGCCGCTCTCAGCGCTGCTGCCACTGGGGCTGGGGTGAGTGGGGCCACGGCCCTTTCCCCTCCCCCCAAAGACTTACCTGCTTGGGTGGGGAGGGACGTCTATGCTAATCGCATAAGAGCGAATTTACCTTGCATATAATGAATTATGGGTCTAAATATGCTCATTGCATAAGAGCAAATTTGCATATAAAAACTCACATAAATTGAGGGAAACCTGTATGTCTTGCAGTGAGAAAAGCCTAGTGCCTCCTTTCTCTTAGTCTCTGATTGTAGTGACCCAAACACTATCTTCATTTCTTCTGGCATTCCCCCGAAGATGCTACAGCAGCATTTATTGTCTGTGATGATCATAACACTGATTGTGCCAGCTCTTCCCACCTTGGGATAAAGCAGGTCTTCATCACAGGTACCGTGCAAAGCAAGCCCCTCATCACACAGGCAGTGGAGCTCACCCCCATGCTCCCAGTAGGTCGGATTATAGCCACAGGTTCAATAGCTTGTGGTATCTACTAGATGCTGCTATATCTTCATCACAAGCAATGGTAGCAATTCACCTTCCACAGCACAAATATCTCACAAAGAACGAAACCACAGAGGGCCAGGCCTGTATGATTTCTCAGTGGCCTCTTGCCTAAGAGTCAGGCTTGGGAGCCAGTGTGAGCGGGAGACGTGCTAACAGCTTCACCCCCAGTACTTCCTCTGCAGAGCAAGAGTGTGAAAGCCACATGCGACAGAGACAAAATTACTCTCACCATCTCCCCACCAAAAGAAGCCTCATTTGTTCTCACCTTGCCATGTACATCTAGCCTGCCATGGCCCCGTGTGATACAAAGACCCAACTAGTTCTCAGACATCAGAATGTTTTAACAGCACCCGTTTCCCAGTCATTGCCCATTTCTTCATGGGTCAAAACCAAAGTCAATTGAAAAGTATTTCTGCTCACTTTAATGGGCTTTGGATCTAGTCCTATCAGTTCTTTAGGACTTTTAACACTGGCTCTGAGTGTATTTTTACCAGGCAGTTCTGCCTACCTACCTATTGAGACCCCCATGGGGGAGTCTCACATCAGGCTGAGGCTGACACTCTTGTTCTGTCTGTATCAGATTATCCCTCTCCTCGCCTACTGCCATTACAGCATGGAAGGGTGTTTAATGGAGGCTGTCCATCCTCAACAAGAGGAAAGACATCACTGCTGTGTCAGTGTATGGAGTGAGGCTGCAGTATGGAGCTGCGTAGTCCAAATACGTTTGGTAGGTGAGAAAGTCCTTGTGGGGGAGCCAGACTAGCCCAGGGGGTCTATGGCTCCCTGTAGGTCAGGTAACTGGTGTGGATTGGAGGCTCTGTGCAGGGCAGCAGTGTTGCCACGTCTGCTCATAATAAGCGGAATTGGGCTTGCTTTTTTAAAAAGTTGTTTTAATTCTTTGAGAGTTGCGGGTTGATAAGCACCCTCACTCCCCTCTCTTTGAAATGGGTTAGGCTTGTTTTTAAAGGCAGTGCTGCTTTTTTTTCTCGCGAGACTTGGTAACGCTGCAGATCAGACACTCATTCTGGGCAGGTTGGGTGTTCAGTGTGGTCTGGATGCTCTGCATGGATAGATGCTGGAGTCTGCAGGTCTCCCAGTAGGTGGGGGGCGTCCCCTTGGATGGGGCATTCTGGGTCATGCTTTGCCATGCTATTGTAAGGGTGAATGGGGAGGAAGGGGCAGCATGTGTAGCCTAGCAAAAGCCAGGCCCAATACCAGTCTCAGGGGAGCACAATTCCCGTGCTCCTGGATCCTGTCAGCACCAGGTTGAAGAACTGGCAGAGTGTATGGTGTGGGTGACACAGGGTTGGTGCTGACTGCACACCTCTGAGGTGGGCACCACAATCCCTGCTTTTGATACGGCAGGGACTGTAGCACAAGAAAGAGTGCAGTGAATTCAGGCTGGGCCTCGTGGTGCTGTGTGAGCTCATCTACACTTGTGTTTCCATCATAAAGTCTGGCTACTTCAAACCTACCCCTCTGCCCTCCTATTTGCAGGATCCCTTGCTGCCTATAAAGTGAGACAAGTCACAGAAGGGGGACGAATTATAACAGATTGCATGCAGGCAGTGCATGTCCCGACAAATTTTGCTCATTCATTTCACTCCTCAGGGGAACGCCGCATGTACAAACTGACTGTCCGTGAAGCAGTGGGCAATGCTATAGCTGCCAGTCCCCTCTGGAGGGCATTGCAGCTCAACACCTGATTTCAAATAGCTTTGCTCCTGTCCCTGCCTGTCACTGCTGTATTTAGGGACTGGAGAATATCAGTATTGCAATGATCTATTTCAGTCATCTCCAGGGCTCCAGTCAAGATCTGGGCTCACTGTGGGAGGTGCTGCACAGTCACGTATTCCTAGAATATCAAATCAAGATAAAATGATTTAACCCCTTGACATTTGTTGCTCATGCCCCTATGGTGTGGATTTTTCACTATTGCTGCTCTGAATAGTCTGCTGTCTTCATCAGGCAGTCTCATTCAGCCCTGTCTCTTCTGGGGCAAGCACCACAGGAAAGCAGCCCTCCAGACTGTTGCCTGTCACTCCTTGTTGTACACCTTCCTTTTCAGGGTCTGGTCCCTATTAAGGGAAAGTCACTAGACTGACTGACCACTGGTCTGACCTGGCCTGGTCATGTCTCCATGGATTGGGCTTGGGATTTGTGATGCAGACTAGTGACATGGAGACGGTACTTTCCAATCTTAGTTTACAAGAGTAAAACTGTGAATGAAGATCAGCATTCATTTAAGGCTGTAGTGTACAGAAAACAAACTATCTCCAAATGACCCTAGATTAATGTTTGGCTCTTTTACTGAATTTCTGGCTTCCTGGGGCACTGGTCACTGCTGCTGGGGCATAGCAGGGCATCTGGCCTGGCTCACTGAAGACTCTTTATTTGCATGCGAGGGTTTCAGTGTCTGTTCTGACACTGGGATGGAAACCAATTCCCCACCTACATTCCCCCAACTGAGTGACAGATTTGCATGGCCCTCTAAATGCCACAGCAAAGCTCATGTGGTCCACAGTAGAACAAGGATAGACAGAAGGACTTTGCAGGGCTCTGTTTCTTCTAAAGCCTTCAGTGGAGACCAATCAAGCCAGCCCAGCTTCCTTCGGCACTGGGATTCCTTGTCCTTTTTTTGGCATATAAGTTTTTCAGTGTCTCTCTTAGTTCTTGTGAACTTTGTGATGCCAAGTTTCTCTATAACTTCGCTAGGGAAACACTTGAAAGCTCAGAAAGAAGTTGCAGCATCTCCTGGCCAGGTCTCTAACCTTGATGCAACTTTTAATAAAGTTATGGCATTTGGGTCTCCATCAGATTAACAGGCAGGTGCAGGGGTGTAGAGAGTGATTTGGTTAAATGACTTTTGCAAGAACAGCTGGCAACATTGCTTACTCACTGCAAAACTCAATAATATTGCCTTTGCTTACTGCAGCTGTCCAGACCCAGCCTGTCCTGACTCAACAGCCTTCTGTATTTGTTGTCCCTGGGGAATCCATCACTCTGAAATGTGTCATGGCTGAAGCCAAGTTCAAGGATTACTGTGTATCTCGGTACCAGCAAAAATCTGGTTTGCCCCCATTTTCATTTTGCGGTACTGGGTAACAAGTGGTGAAATCAGAAGAGTGGCGTGCCAGACAGATTCTCTGGCTCCAAAGACAACAGCCTCGATGAAGGGTATTTGAACATTTCATGTGTGCAGTCAGAGGATGAGGCTGATTATTACTGCTCAGTTTTGGATAACACCCACAAAGCGCACAGTGACACAGGCTTACAGGGAACCAGGGCATAAACCTCCTTGGTAGCTCCATGGCACACACTGTGAAGGACTGTGCTCAGCACCTTCAGGCATGGAGAGCCACTGCATTTCTACTCCCTACCTCACTGTACTGTACACTTGGCTGTCACTGTTCTTCCAGAGCAGACATTTTCTCTGACCCTCTTTTGCAAACTTGGAAATACCTCTGGTCCCTTCCCATTCTGGTGGTCTGGCATTGTGATTACTAGAACTGTGCAAATGGTGCCGTCAATGACTTATTACCATTCACTTGAATTCGAGAGTGGAATTCAATGCCATTTTATATCAATAAGATGTTGTTGAGGTCCTGGGGTATTTGGGGTAATTCCTGGAAAAGGCAATAGAAAGGGAAAGGAGCAGATGCACAGACATGTCCTGGGATAAACACAGAAGGTGGCTAGACAATATGTACATCTGAGTGAAGATGTATGGTGCAGGGGGAAAGCAGTGGTGGTGTATTGATGAATCTGTAGCAGGCCTGGGTCTATAATGTGGGTTTATGAGGTTGTGGGTAGTGGATAGAGTGGGCAGGGTTGGGGTTGAGGTTTACAAGTTGCTGTCATATTGAATGAAATAGTTTGAATGTTTGTAAAGGTTGCCCATTAGCCAGTTTCAGGAAGAAGATAGGATTTATCTCCTTATCTAGCTCATTGTTTTGGAGCTACGTGCAAAATGTCTTGACTTCACCTAAAACCTTAATTTAAATTGTATCTTTAGAAGTTTTTTACAAAGAAAGCAAATGTCCTAAATTCCGAGACATCAAAGCCTAAGGCCTTTTAACCAGACTGGAAAAAAAAAGGTATTTACAGTGATATGGAAGAAGTCTCCCTAAAAGTAATTTAAAATGCTCAACAAAGGTAATTTCTGTTGAGTAAAATCCGAGCCCAAATTTGGGAGTTATGATAAATTGAGTAGGAGGAGCCCACTGACGGCAGCTCACTCAATAAAAACCTGTAACTTACTGTCCCAATTTGGAGGTGACTTCACTTGCAGAACAACGAAGGAAGAATCGCAAGTGTAAGGTCGGATTAGATTGATCACCTAATCCAACCTCTCCGTGAACACGAATCTCTTAGTTCACGCTGAAGCCGCGGAGCGCCCGAAAGGGACTGAAGGAAGGGGACGTAGTCCTATCACTGCTGAGCCCAGCTCATTAAATCGTATTGCTGAGGCCAGCCCATTGAACCGTACTACTGAGGCCAACCCATTAAATCGTACTACTGAGGAATGAAACCATATTTTGGTATTTGGCTTCTCGGAATTCTAGGATTGTAAATATATTATGAAAAATAACAATATTGATTCAAATTTAACTTTTAGTTGTAATTGTAGTTGTTTTTGTAACACTAATTCTTATAGCATTGTTTGGGAAGGAAGTGCATTCAGAGCATTGTTTCTGATATATGCAATTATTGTGTTTTTAATGTTTGTGGTGTTTCTTAAATCTAAGCAGTGTTATATACGTAGCAAAGAGTTTTAAAATAAAATTGTGTTGTATAAATTAAGTGTGTAATCATTGTGAAATCGTGCAATCAGCTAACTACTCCCCCAGCCAGTGCATCAAAACGAATCAGTAAATTGTGTGGGATTTTCTCTATTCCATAACCCACTAGAGACAGTTGCCATTAGCAAGAAACACAAGGAAAATCAAAGCGGCAGAAACTAGTAATAAAAGGAGACAACACTATGAAAACGGTGCAAGAGTTTAATTAAAATGAAGGCACTTTGGGGAGAGAGGAGGAACTGTCTGAGCAAGTTCAACTGAAGGGCAAGCAAGTTCAGCTGAAGTTCAGCTCTGCTATCTTCTAAGTCTAAATGCTCAGAGTGAAGCAATGAGAAACCCTTGTGTGTGAACCAGGCTGATGTTCTTCTCTGCATCAGCAATAGCAAAACCCAGGTCAGAATTTCCCTCATATTGGGAACACCACACTCTAGTATTTTTTTCAATGTTATGCTGTTTTAATTCCCAGTAATTTGCAAAAAGTTGTGCAGACCCCTCCTTCCAGTTGGGATTAGGCATTAGTGATCTAAGACCTAGATGTGGATGCTTATCTGAATCTCCAACTTTATGAGAATCCTTCCTCCCACTCTCTCCATCAACATAATCTCCCCACTGATGTCCATGAAAAGTTCTTCCCTGCTTGAGGGTCTATTCATTCCCAGTGAAGCCCATGTAGTCACTCCAACCCAGTTCCTCTGTCAACCCTTCTTTGTTTCCCCATCCAGATGCATGGCTAGTCAGTGCACTGTTTGTTGGGGCCTTAGGTTAAAGGAATTATAAACCAAGCAATCTCTATCAAGAAACAATGAAGAGAATGTAGCACCAATGTGTGAGAGCGTGTCCTTTAAACCACTGAAGCGGGCAGCAGGCAACTCCTTTGAATTACTGTTATGAGCGTTCCTGTATTGAACTCTCCAGTACGATGACCTGATACACAAGCTATGGGGGATATACATTATCTTGGAATGAGTACTCCATAGAAACTTTATAGGCATGCAGTATTTCCTGACAGAGCTTGGGGCAGAGAAGAGCCAAGAATGGGAAATGTAACTAAAGAGGGTGTTGGAGTTCAGACAGGATTTTTCCTTGTATATTAATGCTGTGACAGACTGTAATGAAAAGACTATATAAAGGATAAAACAGCATCTGGGACAAAATGGGAAGGATGGTGGAAGAGATTCTACTGGGGTAGTGGTGACAGTTTCCTTTAGACCTCTAGGTTTGACATCTCAGTAAGTTATTAGGGAGATAAATACTACTGGGAATTGTGTCATTATAGGAGACTTTCACTCTCCAGAAATACATTGGAGAACAAATGCTTTGAAGAATGGTGTGGCCCAGATATTCCTGGATATCACAGCCGATGAAGTTCTTCAGCAAATAGTCACTGAACCAAGAAAATATGGTGCTTGGTACATAATGAGGACATTACAGAATGGCAGGTCATAGAAAATAACCTTGAACTGTGTGATCATAAATTGATTCAATTTAAATCAAATGGAAGAATAAACAAAAGTGGTTCTGTAACTGGATTTTAAGACCACACAGTGAAGAACTGGATGATCTTGAGGACTGGAGTAATAGAAATGGGATGAAACTCAGTAGTACAAAATTCAAGGTCACATGCTTTGGAACTAATCCCAAGAACCTCTGTTATAAACTGGAAGCTCATAAACTGGAAACAACAGAGGTGGAGACCAACCTGGCTCTAGCAGCTGATTAAAGGTTGATAACATGAAAAAGGTGTTGTTGGGTACTACTAGTGTCATTATTGCTGTTATCCTTATTGGCTGTTATTGATGTGCTGTCACTGGTGAAGTCACAGGAACTGCGGTGTCAACAAAGTCACAGCCAGGAGATTCCAACACCATCTTGTCCTAAAGAACGACCATGGGCTTGCTTCAATGGCAAAGAATTGGCCAGGTTTATAGAAGCACAGCCCTAACACATTTTGGCATAACAGGTATATCAGACCAGGAGTTAAAGCATTTGTATTTGTGACAATGTAGTCAGCACAACACCATGCAGGCTCCCCCAGGCTGCTAGTTTTGTTATAACTTTTTGGATTACTGTCCACATTTTCCTATTCTCTTCCTTAAACTCATATGGACCACCTTTCTCCATTACCCAGCACGTCTACATAAGGCAAATGGGATCCTAGGATGTATCAGGAGAAGAATTTCTAACAGAGGTAGGGAAGTATCAGTGCCACTTTACAAGGCCCTGGTGAGACCTCCACTAAAATACTGTGTACAACTGGTCATTAATTCTGTTCACTCAGACTGGAGTAGATGAAGATATGGGTTACTACTATGATCAGGGGAATGGAGAGTCTGTCTCATCAGAGACGACAAGGGCTTAGCTGGTTCAGCCTTGCAAAAAGAAGGCTGAGAGCAGATATGATCACTCTCCATAAACATATCAATTGGGGAAACACCAGGTAGGAAAAAGAACCAATTAATAAAATGGCAGAACCCTGAATAACATTGGGATGCCATCCCAGAAATGTTATGTTCTTGCTTCTCGTTGATTGAAGCCCCATCCTTATAACGTGTGTCTCGTGACAGACTGTTACAGAACGCAGTGCAGGATCACCTGATTAGCAGATGTGGTCTCTGAGTCCCAGCACATATTTGCATAGACCTGCTTGTTCTGTCCTGGTCCCCCTCATCTCTACAGCTGCTGCAGACTCGAACAAGGTCAGGGGTCTGTCTGTAAAGCAGCTGTACTTTTCTTCCCTTTCTCTCCCTCAAAGCCCTTCGAGATGGTTCTATGTATCCTGGCTCTCCTCCTCGCAGGGGTTTTGGTGTCAGGTAAGTTCTCGTCTGAGACTGAGCCACACAGTTATTTCAGAGGGAGAGCATCACGTGGTGGTGGCTGTGTGCTAACTTGCTGCACAGAAGGTGGGCTGCGCTTGGGAGACGGGTTCATGTGGGCTGCCGAGGTGAGGCACATGCTAAACTGTGGTTGGAGCAGGAGTTGCATGAGAAAGAAGAGGCAATGCTAGAGAGGATGGATGTAACATTTTAGGGACTGGGGGAGGGATTGGCACAATCTGTTGATAACTGTCCTTGTTTCCTGCAGCTTCCAGGTCCCAGCCAGTGCTGACTCAGCCAGATTTTGTTTTAGTGTTGCCAGGACAAACCGTGAATCTGTCCTGCTCCTTGAACTCTGGGTACCACATCAAGGATTATGGGGTTTCGTGGTACCAGCAGAGACCTGGATATCCACCGAGGTACCTGCTCTATTACAATTCAGAGGCAGACAAGCACAAGTCCTCTGAGATTCCAGACCGCTTCTCTGCCTTCAAAGACCCCACCATCAATGCCTGCATCTTGACCATCTCTGAGGTCGAGGCTGAGGATGGTGCTGACTACTACTGCTCAATATCATACGCCATCTACTATCTATAGAAATGCGGAACCAAAACTTTGCCTTTCGATTCCGATGATCCCAATGCAGCGCTTTATGGTTGAAGGAGCTTAGCCCTGTAAGGAATGGAAAAAGACACTTCCGAAGTTCTTCATCCTTGAGTTAACTTAGAGGTGATGCGCTTTGTAGGTTATGCTCAGTGAGCTGTGATGCACAGTGACTTCCTGTTCGACCGATGGCACGTGACGGAGTGCAGAATGCTGTTGAACATGCGAGGCCAGATGCTGCGAGGTGCTTAGCAACATCAACTCCTATTGTGTAGAAAACCTAACCAAGTGATTTCTTTCCTACTTGCAGCCTATTGTACATCTGCTCAGACCCTGCCTCCTGTATCTGTGGTTTCTGGTTCAGCTTGACATACACTTCTGAATC